CGGGCGGCGCGGGACTGCCGATGAGGATCGGGGAGGTGCCGGCGCCTCCTCGCCCTTGGGAGAAACCCGGCGAGAACCCGAGGGGGGACCTTCCGAGCCCGGTACGGTGAAACAAACCACGGCAGCAGCATTGCACTCTGAAAACAGTGGGGGCGACAAAATGAAAAAGGGACTGACCCAAAAGACCACAAAAATTGGATTCTGTTGTGGGTCGGTCGGTCCCTTTTTGACCCGAGTGAGGTTATTTGGGCCCAACTGTTTGTCACAATTGTTTGAAGATTTATTGTGTTTGTCAACCAAATGTTTTTTGTTTTCCCGATACAGCAGCAAGAGGAAGAGCGCCTTCCCCCGCGCGAACCCACTCACCCGCCCCATCCGGCGGTGGTCCTCGAAGCCGGACCGACGACCGCCTCGTCGGAATCCATGGGGGACCTGCACACCCGTACTTACCAGCTGCAGGACGACGAGACGCCGTACTTTACTCGAACCCGAGCCGGGGCGCTGTGCTTCCGGCAGGGCACTGAGGTGGCCGCCCCCAAGGAGAACGGTGGCAAAGCGGGCGGCGCCGGCGAAGGCGGACGCCCCGCCGCCGCCACCGGCGGGTATCGAAAACCTCTGCAAGTCCAGCAGCGGCGGGCCTTCGTCACGCCCAAGTCCAAGACCAGGGTGACGAGGGGCGGGCGGCGGCTGGTGAAGTGCGTGTGCCGGCCCGGCTGGCACGGCCCCTACTGCGGGGTGCCCACCATGGTGTACCACTCCAACCTGCCCACCAAGGAGCGGCTGACGCCCCGAGAGACGCCCCGCCGCGTCATCAACGCCATCAACGTCAACCACGAGTTTGACCTGCTGCACGTCCGCTTTCACGAGCTGGCGCAGGCCGTGGACCTCTTCCTCGTTTGCGAGTCCAACTTCACCGCCTACGGGGAAAAAAGACCTCTCAGGTGACCGCCTGCCTCGCTTGCGGGGCCGACTGACGTAACTCGCTCCGAGTCATGAGTGACGGCTGAGGTGGACGTCAAAGCGGCTGGTGTCGGGCTCGTTACTTCTCGGAACCGGCTCGGCGCTGTCCAAATGGGGCCTGTCTCGGTTGAAGTCTGATCCGGGTTTTTTTTTTTTCTGGCACCGTTGCAAGTTTGGGCCACGGCAGCTTGTTGTCTTGCGTTCGGTTCTGGGGCACTGAAAGGCTCGTGAGCATTTTTCGATCGGTAGCAAGCGCTCGTAATTCCTGGAAATGCGGTCTGCACTTTGCTGACTGGGGACTCCATTTTGTGCGTGTGCGTGTGCGTTGCAGTTTTCTGCGTCTGCTCCTGAACGGAACTTATGACTACGTGCGCCACAAGATCCTGTACGTGTTCCTGGACCATTTCCCCGAGGGCGGGCGGCAGGACGGCTGGATCGCCGACGACTACCTTCGCACCTTCCTGACGCGCAACGGCATGTCGCGGGTGGAGGGCGGCCGGCCGGACGACGTCTTCGTCATCAACGACGCCGACGAGATCCCGGCTCGCGAGGGCCTCCTCTTCCTCAAATTGTTTGACGGCTGGACTGAGCCCTTCGCCATTCACATGCGCAAGGTGAGCGTGTCTTTGATGTTGCAGCGCCGCTGGGGAATCGACCTTTTTTTTTTTCTTTAAAAAGGTCAAAATGACACATTCTGCTTTTCAACCCACCACATAATTTCCCTTTAATGTAAAGGAGATCTTAGCTTAGTGCTAACAAACAATGCTAAACATAATTCATCAATAGAGGGCTCCGTCCTTTGAGCAATTACCCACAATGCACGACCGGCGGCCATATTGGAGGGCTGTTATAAACAACCCATACACGAACGTGGACAGAGCCCTCTCTCGTTGCACCAGATATTTGAACATGCCACATGCAAAATATGTGTGGGCTATCCTCAGCAGCAACACCTAAAATCAAGCATTTTCAAGTATTTTTTTTTTTTTAATGAGACAAAATAATTTTAAAAAATAATCCTAATTTCCACATTTCGTTTGCGGACAAAATTGTTTGCTAAATTGGTGGACGGCTGACGGCGCGCGTGTTTGTGCCTGTGCGTGCGTTTTGGGCAGTCTCTGTACGGCTTCTTCTGGAAGCAGCTGGGCTCCCTGGAGGTGGTGTCGGGCTGCACGACGGGCATGCTGCGCGCCGTCTACGACGGCGACGGCATCAAGCTGCGCCGCCGCGAGTACTACACCATGCCGGCCTTCCGCAAGTACGAGAACGACACGGGCCACATCCTGGTGCAGTGGTCCCTGGGCAGCCCCTTCCACTTTGCCGGCTGGCACTGCTCCTGGTGCTTCTCGCCCGAGGGCATCCTCTTCAAGCTGGTGTCGGCCCAGAACGGCGACTTCCCGCGCTGGGGCGACTACGAGGACAAACGCGACCTGGGCTACATTCGCCAGCTGATCCGCACGGGCGGCTGGTTCGACGGCTCCTTGCAGGAGTACCCGCCCGTGGACCCCAAGGAGCACATGTACGCCCCCAAGTACATGCTGGACCACTACCAGCGATACCGCTACCTCCTGGAGAACCCGTACGCCGGACGGCGCTGAGACCGGATCGGACGCAAACCACTGGATGTGCCGAGTATTTTAAGTTCGTGTCTTCTTGTCACGTTCCCACTTGTGGATTGCCAGTGCGTGTGTGTGTGGGGGCGGGTGGGGTTTTTTTTTCAGTAGTTTGGGGGGGGGGGCGTGTACTAATTGGCTCTGAGTCATGAGTGTGCGCGTGCGTGCTTGTCTGTGTTCAACACAGGTTTTGCGGTGATTTTCGTCCCCGCCCCCCTCTCTAAAAATTGCAGGTGTGTACAGCGTGTGCCAATCAGCTGTGAATCTTGACAAAAAAAGAGAGTCCGTGTACAGGCAAGGTAACTTTTGACTCCTTGGAAACAAAAAGTAATGGCAAGATGAGTGGGCAGTTACTTTTGTGTGCGTGTGCCCGTTTTGTTTCGATCAAATCATGTCTCCTCGCAGCAAAATTAGTCATTCGAGTTCAACTTGTGTGTCTTCTTAGTCACAGGAAAGAGCGTACACACACACACTGGCGGACACGCAAAACTCACCGAAGGACATCGCAACCCAATCACAGCAATAAATCAGACCTCGGGGGCCGCGCAAGCTGCAATCACGCTTCGACAGCTGCGCGTTTGGCGCCGCACATGTGGCGGTGACCCCGCTGACCGCCCGCCGTCGCCGCGGCAACCGTCCCCACCACGAATTCCCAGCATGCCGACGCCGCGTTGTCATCCACTTTAGCCTCTGAGGAAATGTTGCCATCGGCAACGGCTTCCGTTTGGTTTTGAAGGATTTTTCTTCCATTCGTTTGAAATTCCATCGAACTGTCGAGGTTGAGTTCACATTAAGATGAGGTTTACAAATGATGGAATTGTCGACAAATATTTTTGAAACTCACAAATGTTTTCAATCTAAATGTGGTTCTTTTATTTAATTACTTTTTTAAATGTCATTTTTATTCATGTTTACAGTTTAAAATTTGAATTCAAATGCTGAAAAACATTTTTTTTAATTGGAATCCTTAAAAAATGTTCAGAAAATGTATGAAATTAGTTACATGGTTTCTGAGAGCCTTTTTCTTCAGTCCAAACTTTCACATTGAAGACAAAACTTGATTGATTTCATTCGATAAAAGACTTAACTTGACATTTATGATTTAAAAATAGCAAGCAGTCAGTGTCAGGAAGCCTTTGTCACTTTTTCATTGTTTTTTGGTATGTCGATACAAATATTAAATCTAAAATCCAGTTCCAAAATTACAAATTAAATCTAAAAAAAATAAATAAATAATAACGCTTTCTTTTTTTCAACATCACATTTATGTGATTATGAAAACACAAATTTAATTGTTGCAATCACAAAATGTTTATGATTGTATCACCAAATTCACAATCTAATTCGAATAAAAATGAATCCCAGTGGTCAAAACAAAATTTCAACTAATATCAAAGTCTCGTTTGCCTCGCGGCATGATGGCGTACGTCATTTTTTAACCTGCTGCTGCTGCGGCGATGGCAATTCAAAGCATCTTTCTTTCATATGCTCATTTATTGGACTGCCATAAAACTTTGAAGTGCAAAAAGCCAAAGCAAAAAAACTTTGAATCCTTTGTGGATGTCGTTTGGCTCTCCCTTTGACGGTTTTTATTTGGGCTGCCCAACAGCGAAGTCGACGAGGCGCTCGAGTCACAATGACGATTGTTTGTTTTGTTTTGTTTGTTTGTTTCGCTCCACGCGTTCAACCGTTTGCCACTGTCGCTCTTGCGTCTTTTCCACGTCTGGCTTTCTTCCGGCTTCTGATTGGCCCAATTAAAAAGACTTCCGGTTGACCATTTCTTTGCTGAATTATTCCGTTGCTCTCCCACCGAGTGGAGGAGCATTTTATCGTCCCGCCTGTCAGCATCCGTCACCGGCCTGAAGAGCGGAACAAAGAAGTCATTGTTTCTTGGAAATAAATGGTTTAAGTGAAATCGGATCATTTTGTGTGTGCGCGCGCACGAATGTATAAACAGGCAATTCTCTGGCGCTCTCCCTCCAGTTCACCGTCAATAAAAACAATCAAGATTTTCACCGCAAAACGAATTCATTCATCGACCGCATTGAGTGACTTTTTTTTTTCCTTCCTAAGGGGGCGTGGTCGCTTAAATGGGAGGAAAGGGGCGGGGCTCGCCGGAAGGAGGAAGTTCCACGCAATCATTGATTTTGGTTGCACTTTTTCTGCCTTGTTTTGATCAAATGTCCCCTTGGGATGGAAAACAAGAGTGCGTGCGTGCGTTTCTTTTTCAATTTTGTTGAAATCACATCGATTTGGCAGCTTGCTATTTAATGTTTTTGAGGCGTGCTTGTGTGTGAGCCTACTGTTCAAACAGACGTGCCTCGGGCGTCTTTTACTTCCTCCAAGGCCATCAAGTTGGTGGAACCAATCACTGAGGCTTTCTGTCTGTGGTCTTTTTTTCTTTGTTGTTGTTGTTGTTGTTGTGTCCGGAGTGACGCCTCCTTTTCCCGCGTCCCTTGCTGTGATTGGTCGTCTCCGAAGCAGTGCGCAGCGCTCGTGTTGTTTTCTGATGCGTTTAGCAGCGTGAAAGCACCTTATTGATTTGTGTTGTCATTGATCGGTTATTAACATTGGGTTGTTAACAGGGTTATTGGGCTTTATTTTTTTATTTTTTTATCCTGTTTTTTGTTACAAAATGTTTGAAATTATGTCATTCCCCCCCCCCCCATTTTCTGTTGAAGCCAAAGTGTGATAGCATTGACACAACACACACACACACACACACACACACACACACACACAAAAACACACTCAGTAGCCCCTTTCAGTACTCGTTCAAGCCCGAGTCACAAATGGAATGGCTTCTGGGGCATAATGCTTCTTCCTGGTTTGGTGTGTGTGTGTGTGTGTGTGTGTGTGTGTGTGTGTGTGTGTGTGTGTGTGTGTGTGTGTGCGTGCGTGCGTGCGTGCGTGCGTGCGTGCGTGCGTGCGTGTGTGTGTGCGCGTGAAGTGTAAAAGAATCAAATTCAACTCCCCGATTGCGTGACGCGGTGTCATTGTGTGAAAGCGCAGACAGTTGCATCAAAATCCGCCTTTGCTGAGTGCTGCGTGAAAGGCATATGGAGACGTATTGTGGAAGCTTACAGCCGTCAAGTGGTCACTTTGCAGTCTCTCTGGTTCAAATGTGTATCAAAAGCTCATTTCACACTGACTGGACATGAAATATTTATGACACATTCAGTATTGCTTGGTTTTGTGTCAAAGTTTCCGCTGTGGGAGTTTTTGGTGAACTGTGTGAAAGGGGCTATAGTTTGTTTCTGTCTTATGAAAAGCTCCACATACTGACAGCTTTATTTTGAAAGCACATGCAGGAAGACATGATTTTTTTCTTTTTACGACAATTGCGACCCCCTCCGTCCCTGCACTGATTCTTCAATCTCACATAGTTTTATTGATTTATATCTTTTTTTGTCTTGTTGATCTTGGTGGAACGTGCACGTGTGTGTGTGTGTGTGTGTGTGTGTGTGTGTGTGTGTGTGTGTGTGTGTGTGGTCCAGTGGCTCAGTGTTCCAAGAGGAGGAACCGTGGGAGGTAGAAGGCACCCCCCCCCAAAAAAAGAACCTGGGGGTGATACTTTCAATCAAAATAATAAAAGACGCTTTTTTGATGATGGAAAACAAGACGAAGAAAAAGAACATTTGGAAGTGAACTCTGGTGTTTATTCAAATGACTGGATGTATGTTAACCATCAACAACCACAAATGTTCTGTGGAAAAGATATAATAAATTAATTTCAAAATTTCAGCTGTGCTGTGACGATGTGTGAAGGTTTTTGTGGCGCGGGGTTAATTTTTGGTACACTTTTTTTCCATATTAAAAATTGGGTATTTTAGTGAGGAATACAAGAACGAAGAGAGGTACGATTTGTAATGCATAAAAGTCCCAAAAAATGTCGAAAAATGCAACTTTGATAAAAATCGGACAAAACAGATTATTTACAGGATATTAACGAAGGATAGGAGATATATATATATAGAGAGAGAGAGAGAGAGAGAGAGAGAGAGAGAGAGAGAAATTTTGAAGGCTTGTACAACGAGTCTCCCATGTCGTAATTATCGCACAAGGTGATTTCTTACACCATCTAGCGGTCAGAGTATGAAAACAAAAGTCGTTTTGGAGTGATGCCACGCTGACGGAATGCACGCGGAAGACCATTTGGAGGAGGCGGGGTTCCCTGACGTTTCAAAATATGACGCCACGTGATCAAAACATTGGGACACTATTGAAGAAGTTCTAACCATCAATCAATGAAAAAGAATAAATGTTTGTGGTCTGGAAAAGAAGTTGAGTTGAATTGAGTACTTAAAACTGCAACCACACTTGAAAGTTACAAGATAGATAATTTTTTAATGAAAAACAAATCACTAACTTTTTGTCACTAAGAACGAAGAGTATGATTGTTTTCTTTGTTGTTTGAATGCTTACTACTCGTTGACCACCTATCGGGGGTCCAATCCTTTCCAAAAGGATGCCATTTGTTTGTATGGTGTGATGAGACAATGTTCCAAATATACTTGGAGTTTTGGGGGTTTTTTTTCACAAGAAGAATGACAAAAAAATTTGAACTCATCATTTGGTTCCACTTTGGAGTGGTTGTGTCCAGTGATCGCAAATAAGTTTGACATCGCAAGTGTGTTCTTCCTGATGTTTTTCATGACGTCAGTGGTGCTCACTGTTTTCTAATCCTTTGTTTACCTGTCAGGATCAATTAAATGCAATCCGCGACTTGTTCCCAGGACTAAAGAACTGCGGTCAAGCCAGCACGCACTCGCAAAATCGAAGTCAAGTGAGCCGGCACTGCGATTGTCAATACTGTGCATTACGGTAATCTGTCGCCAGCGAGCGGCGTTGGCATCCTTCAAAATAAAAGATCCACCACGCATGCATAAACGTCATTTATTTCGGTTAAAAGAAATTAATAAAAGTATAAAATAAGTAATTTCTTGGCTGTTGGGTAAAGATTCACCAAGGAATAACAAGAACTCTCAGAACAGCACCAATAAGCGTTCTCAAGTGGAGATAGAAAATAAAGTCAATGGTAATTCTACATCAATTTCACCTGACATTAAAAAAAAAAAAAAATTAAAGAAACTAATCTGGGTGATAGCGCAACCACACCAGGTTGTCGACACACTAAGGCATGCCAGGTATACACCCACAGTACTGGTAAGCGTTCTCAAGTGGAGATAGAAAA